TAGGACCGATTTAGTACAAATACTAGCCTCCACTGCGAAATAACTCCACAACACCATTCTATCTTCATGCTCTGCCTGGCATCAAGAATCTCTTATCAGCATTTCTGTTGAGATCTGTGAAGTATCTGTGTGGGAACTGCTTAGGTTCTACAGTGTCTCTTTCCTTACATTTCTATCTAGGACCTGTGTAAGACCTGAAAGTAATGTTAAAACGATGCGGTATTAATCCTGCGGAACCGGAAGTTAGAGCAGCCAATCGCATCAGTTAGAGGACACTATGCTGTCAGGCTATTGAAAGATTTGAAGCTAGCCGAACAGAAAACCAGGAATTTCGCCGGCAACAACGTCATGGTGGCCGGGTGCGAGGGCCACCGCCACCAGGTGTCGGCATTCAGTGCCCAACCTGTGGACGGCAACGCGAGTTTCAGTTGGATCTTCGCAGCCATCAACGTCAGCCTAATATCTCCAACTAGTGATTTCTTTAATTCTCATTCTTTTCACACGAGGTCTGTATGAAAAGTAACAAGACTGATCACGTTCTTTGATGTGACAGATCATCGTTCACATTGAGGTATTGCCGCAGGGGCAGGCGATCAATCAGCATATCTCAGTTCACAAGAGACGAGAGTTGTGTCAGAACAAATCGTAGCTGCTTTACCACGATAATGAACCTGCTCACAACGCCCGGAGCATCTGGCACTTCCTGGCCAAGAAAAAACATCGCTGTATTGGATCAAACTCCCTATTCATCTGATCTTGCTTCGTGTGGCTTTTGTCTTTTCCCTAAGCTCAAGGGGATCGTCAAGGTGACCCGTTTTGAAGGTGTGGATGCTATCAAGAGGGTCGTAACGACGGAGCTGATGGGGGTCCAAGAAGAATCTTTCCATCTGCGGTGCATAGAAGCGATGGAAAAGTGCATTTCAATGAAAATGTTATTAAGCTTAGACAATATGAAAGGAACTTACTTAAAATAAATAGACAAAACTTTTCTATATTATTTTATGAAACATGCTATTATATATATATATATATATATATATATATATACACACATACTAGCAGTATAACCTGTCTTCGACCGGGTATTTCATTACTGGGAATGTTTTGCCGTTCAGTTGGAGCAGTTCAAGTTTAAAGTCAGCCCACCCCAAAATCAATATTACTAACAACAAATTCCTGCAACTGAGGCACATCCCCAAATGGTGGTGGTGGTAGGGGTTTAACAATTTGAATGGAAGACCCTGAAAAGGGCCGTTTTTGCAAGGAAGGATCCTCTTCCAGGGACAACCATAATAATATACGATAATTTGTATTTATAATATATTTTTTTTATAATTCTAATAATCTTTTGCGTTAGATTTCAACTCTCTAAATTGATTGTACGCTGTTTTTTTTTTTTACAGACATTAAATTTTGCCTTTGATTTTTGCGCAAAGTGTAAAAAAATCAGTTTTTTCGATTTTTCACCTTCAAGGTTGTAATTTTTTCCAGCCAATTTAGACTCAAAACCGGCAATGACTAAAAATCTGTCAAACAAAAAAAAAAAAAAAAAAATTAATCAAAATCGGATGAAAACTGGAAACTCATGAACAACATCCGATCACACCACACACACACATTTTTAGAATTTATAAATATATATATATATATATATATATATCTTAAGGAAAGGGATCATAATTTATTGTTAAAGTAGGATACGACTTTCGGTTTACATCACGACATTTTAAAACTTAAGGCGTCTTTCGGCCGACACTTCTTTATAAATATAATTGTTGGTAGAATAAAAGAAATTTTTTTTTCAACAACTGATATTAAGATGTAAATTACGAAGCTAGAGGAAGGAAAAAAATTATTTTCTTCCCAGTTAGGTGACTGATTCCTCGAATAAACTTATATTTTAACTCCTGTTGTCTTGCACAGAGGAGAACATGGCATATTAATAATAACAGACTCCAGGATGTCTAAATGGAGTCTGGTCCATGCCCTGTGCAAGACTGCAAAAGAACTCAAGAGAATAGTTCACCCGGATGTCACAGGCTCGTGTCTACGTACCTGGACCGGGACATGCTGGGTAATCCTAACTCTAACCTCTGAATAGTTTCGCCCACATAATTGATGCTTTCTTTTATGGCATATCAACAACAATGTGTTATTTAATGTTCCCAAATTTTTTCTCCTTTTAAATATATATATATATATATATATATATATATATATGAATAGAAAGTAAACAGTATTTAGAAAAATATGACAAACTGGGAAAGTTTTGTGATGTGATATGATTTCATCTGACTAGATATATATATATATATATATATATATATATATATATATATATATATATCTTAAGGAAAGGGATCATAATTTATTATTAAAATAGGATACAAAAGCATTGTGGCATTTGAAATTTAAGGCACATTTCAACCAACACTTCTTCAGAAATATATACTCCTCGGCGAAATAAAACAAAATAGTTGACAGGAAAAATTACTATCAACAACAGATATTAAGAACTATTGGAGGGAAAGTTAGTTAGGTGACTGATTTCCTGAATAAGGCCAACTTATATTTTAACTCCCTTTGTCTGCATAGGGGGAAGGTCATTGCATGTTAATAATAAAAGACTCCAGGATGTCAAAATGGAGGCTGGTCCATGCCCTATGCAAGACAGAAAAAGAACTCAAGAGAATAGTTCTTCTTGCAAGCAACAGAATTTAATAAATGCTCACCAATAGCACAGTCATGAGTCTGCGAACACCCAAATGTCACAGGCTCGTGTTTACGTACCTGGACCGGGACATGCTGGGCGATCTTAACCTCTGAATACTCTTACCTACATAGTCGATCTCATGTCGACATTTATATTGATGTATAACTAAACTTTGTTGATAGGAAGGCAAGATATGTTTACGGCATGAGGGAAAAGCCTTTCTGGTTGAAGAAAATACTCCGGATTATAACGCATTGAAACACCGTTTGATAGATTTGGAAAATTTTTCGGCGTATGTGTGACACAGCGGACCAATTCACGGTAGTCTCACATATACAGGACATTTAGCGGGACCATATTTCTTAACTTCATTCAACTTAATCTTTTGCTCAATGGTAGATATAACAACACATTCGTATATATATATATATATATATATATATATATATATATATATATCTATCTCACATATTTATATCTGTTTTTTTTTTTTTTTTATTATTCTTATTCTCAGGCATATTTCCGTTTTCGAGCATTTCCTGGCAAAATAACTCAGGAATCTTGGTCCCGATGATTCCAACACCTAGAAGCTGTGAGAGTAATCTGCCGCCAGTAGGGGGGGGGGCGTGAAGGCTGAAAAATTTCTGCTCTGGGCTGATATATACATATCTGAGTACCCAGCTCACAGACAAGGGTGCTGAAAATCCTCGGCCGGACCAAAAATTTGTTTTACTTACAACGATAAATAATGGAAGATATGATGCACATATCTATATATCTCACTAATCTTGGGTAATCAACGGACTAAATTTTCGTCCCCGGGCGAGACTGCTTCAGACTAATTTATCTTAATATATTATTTATTTTAATTAAAACTGTATTAAGTCTAAAATATGGTTCGATGTATGATTATTACAATGAGTCTACTGTTTATTCGTAAATATTTAAATCGCAATAAATTCAGCATCTTTGAAGTTTATTTACGTCCAGAATCATAAACATAGTTCTTTTCATCCCAACTTTGTTGCAGTTAGATCGTAGGGTAATTAAAAACAATATCGATAAAAATAAAACAAAAGCGACAGAAGCTGAATGAGGTCGGTTAGATTGTCAAAACAGACGTCAAAAATTAAATTACAAAGCCGAGCGTCCCTGTATCTTTAACGTTTTCTTATATATATATATAGCTAATATTAGTGGTAAATATACACATACATATGCAAAATATATAAATATATATACATAGGTGCATACACATACATGTATATTTTTTGAATGAATTGGATCGTATTTACGATTCCAATGGAATAAATTATAAACATGGAATATTAGTGTTGTTATTTTTCTCGGCTATTTACGGGTCAGTGGTGCATTGTGGGTAGTCTATTTTGGCGGTTATTTTACCGGAAGTCGTTTATTTGTTTATTTATTTATTTGGGTTAATTTATTTTTATTAATTTATTTATGCATTTATTAATTTTTTTATTTATTTCTTATCTTATATATTTTTATTTTTTTATTTTAATCCGTGGTTTTATTAACGTAGTAAAAATTTGTTTATATCGCTTATTTAATAGTTTTGTTTTGGTTTTGGAAGATAATTAAAGCTATTTATTCAATTTTGGGGTTGATTGCTGTAGTTTATTCTACCTATTATTTCGGTGGGAACAGTTTTTAATTTATTTATTACTTCCTGTATTTATTTGGATTGATTATCTTTATTTTTTTTTCTAACGGTTAGTTTATCGGGTTCGGTTTGTTTGTTTATTTATTTGGATGAATTTAGGTCAATTTATTTTACTTGTTATCATTTATTTGTTATACTATATATTTTCTGTTTTCGGTTTTTAAGTAACGTAGTATTTTCTTTTTCTTCTTTTATCGTTACATAACAGTTATAGCTAGCTTTTTCGTCCGATTTTTGGTTTGATATTTATAGTCTAACTAATATTTTGGTCATAGTGATTTGCTAATTTCTTTATTATTTATTTTATTTGGGTTCATTGATTTTGCTTATTTTTAATTCTATTTTGTCTATTCTAACAGGTGTGATTTGATAATTTGTTTGGGTTAATTTATTTTGCTCATTTTATTGTTATGTTGTTTATTGATTTATTTTTTTTAATTTTATTTTTCCGTTTTCGAATTTTAAGTAACGTAGTAAAAATTGTTTTCATGTCTACATTTTGAGATGAGCTCGAATCATATTTAATAATTTATTAATTTAATGATTTATATTTTGGTCTGAGAAGGTAATGATATATATATATATATATATATATATATATTAAAGAGAGAAAGTGAAAGCGAGAGAGAAAGCGAGAGAGAAAGCGAGAGAGAAATCGAGAGAGAGTGAGTGAAAGCGAGAGAGAGAGAGAGAGTGAGTGAAAGCGAGAGAGAGAGAGAGAGTGAGGAAAAGGAGAGAGAGAGAGAGTGAGTAAAAGAGAGAGAGAGAGAGAGAGGAGGAGGAAGAGAGAGAGGAGTGAAAGGAGAGAGAGAGAGAGAGAGAGTGAAAGGAGAGAGAGAGAGAGAGAGAGGAGGAAAGAGAGAGAGAGAGAGAGAGAGGAAAGCGGAGAGAGAGAGAGAGAGAGAGAGAGAGAGGAGAGAGAGGAGAAAAGCGAGAGAGAGAGAGAGAGAGTGAGTGAAAGCGAGAGAGAGAGAGAGTGAGTGAAAGCGAGAGAGAGAGAGAGTGAAAGCGAGAGAGAGAGAGTGAGTGAGTGAAAGACCGAATGAAAGAATAAGAGTGCGCATTCCCCCACTTTTCATGCTGTAAAAAGTTTTCATCTTGATATTTGATACAAGAATAAAGGAAATAATTTAAAACCATGATATATTTTCCCCAGTGACTAAATAAAGACATGTACACAAGATAAAAATTGTTCATTACTAAGATGAAAAAATTATATGAATAAAAAAAAATCATAAGAGATTAGCAACTTAAAGAAAACATTAAATTGAGCCGAATGAAAAGAAAAATAGAAAAGACAAAAGAAAAAGAAGAAAAAAAATAGAAAAAGAAGAATAGGCAAGTAAAAGAGAAAGACAATATGACCATGAAAGAAAGTAAGAACGATATAATAGGAAAGAAAGAAAAGGATTAAGTCTCTAAAGAAAAATTAGAAAAGAAAGAAAAAATGAAAAAAAGCAGGAATGATAAACCGAGAAAGAATAAATAAAACGCATGATCAGTTGGAGAAGAGAAGAAAAAAAAGAAAGAAAATGACAAAAAAAGAAAGAAAATGACAAAAAAAGAAAGAAAATGACAAAAAAAGAAAGAAAATGACAAAAAAAGAAAGAAAATGACAAAAAAAGAAAGAAAATGACAAAAAAAGAAAGAAAATGACAAAAAAAGAAAGAAAATGATGGAATAACAAGATAAGAGAGAACGTTAACATGAGAAAGAAAAATAGAGAAGAAAGATGAATTAGGAAAGAAAAGAAAACGAACAAGTATATAACAATGAAGAAGGAACTATGGAAATTAAATTAAAAACATAGAAGAAACGATAAGATGGGGAAGAAAGAGGAGAAAAAAGAAAGATATGATAGAAATCAAAGAAAGGAACGAAAGAGTGATGAAAAAGAATGAAGAGGATCGAAAGTTTAAGAAAAAAAGCAAAGAGTGGAAAGAATTCAAAATTAATAAATCAAGCGAAAATAGAAAGAAGCAAAAAGAGGAGAGAGAAACGATAGCATAGAGACGGAGTGGGAAGAGAGACGATAGCATAGAGACGGAGGGGGGAATATGGTGAAGATGGTATTTGCAGCTTTTGTCGAAGGCTGAGAATACCATGGAAAGAATATATGAACAATGAGGAAGTAACAATGAAACTTGTACAGTGTTGTAAGCTAGAAAGGGTTACTGAATGAGGAATAACCAAATCGAAGGTTGGAAATGAAATTGTAATCTTTATAACATCAACAAAATACAATACTCGCCAGCGGCGTGAATTAGGTAAACCACTGCTAGTTGTGGACTACGTAGAGACCATATTACACCCACTTACAATCGGGTCCAACGTATTTATGAGGATTGGGACATACCCATTTAATGTTTATAGGTACGGTATATAACATAATTTGCAATGCATTTTCATAGTAAAAATCATTTACAATGCATTTTCATAGTAAAAATCATTTACAATGCATTTTCATAGTAAAAATCATTTACAATGCATTTTCATTAAAATCATTTTCAAAAAAATCATTTTTGCAAAAATCATTTACAATGCATTTTCATAGTAAAAATCATTTACAATGCATTTTCATAGTAAAAATCATTTACAATGCATTTTCATAGTAAAAATCATTTACAATGCATTTTCATAGTAAAAATCATTTACAATGCATTTTCATAGTAAAAATCATTTACAATGCATTTTCATAGTAAAAATCATTTGCAATGTATTTTTTATAGTTGTTGTAACCTAGAAAGGGTTACTGAATGAGGAATAACCAAAACGGAGGTTAGAAATGAAAAGGTAATCTTTATAACATCAACAAAATACCATACTCGCCAGCGGTGTGAAGTAGGTAAACCACTGATAGTGGTGCACTACTTAGACAGCATGTTATCCCCACTTACAATAGTGTTCAACGTATTTATGAGGATTGGGACTTACTCATAAGTATTCGTATGTACATAGGTATATAACATACAGAAATAAACAGTTGAAATTTCTTGGACACAGGGGAAATTATCAAATATTAAAGGCAAGAGAAGTAGCATAAGTCAAAAGCCGCTTAGAACGACAAAAAAAAAACAAAACAAAAAAAAACACAAAAAATTTTTTTTGTTACATATTATTTTGAATATTCTTTCTAGATTTCATATGATAAAAACGGGTTTTAATTTGTAAAAAATAAACTAATAAAAAAAAAGGCTAATATTAAAAATTTGTCTTGTTATCATAAGAGCAAAGTAGCTATATTAAAAACTACTATTACACAAATAATTGCTTAAAATTATATTCTTACTTACAAAATCTTTCTTCTTATTTAGAGTATAGGACTATAAGGGAAAAGGTAAAGCAGCTATATATTCATGGAAAACTAATATTTAGAGAAATAATTGCTTAAAATGACATTCTTGCTTATTATTGTTCAGGGTGCTGCAGAAATTAGCTAGATGATGACACCATTCCCACTAATGCCATACCATTATGTGGCAGATATTTCTGGAAGCTATATCTGAGAGGTATTTCTGTTGAACCTTTTATAATTAAACCAGTTTAAAAACTGGTCTAAAAGAAAAAAAAATCATTCCATTTGTACAACGGGATAATTTCGCACCCTTAAACAAATATAATTGCTTTTAATTCACCCAAGTATTATAAGTAACAACAAATTCCTTGCAGTTACTTGACAGGGGTATTCAGAAAGCTGTTTTGCTAACCACGTGCTAAATAACGAAAACAACCCCAGCAAAAAAATAAAATAACAAAACCCCAAAAAACCAAAACAAAAACAAAAACCAAAAAACAACAAAAACAAAAAAACAAAAAAAAACAACCAAAAAACCAAAACCAAAACCAAAACCAAAACCAAAACCAAAACAAAAACCAAAACAAAAACCAAAACAAAAACAAAAAAAAACAAAAACAAAAAACCAAAAAAAAACAAAAAAAAAAACAAAAACAAAAACAAAAAACAAAAAAACAAAACAAAAAAACACAAAAAAACAAAACAAAACAAAACAAAACAAAACATTCTGCAGGTCTCCAAATAACAAGGTATTAAGTAGGAAGAGACGACGCAATATAGAGAGGGGGGAAGAGACGACGCAATATAGAGAGGGGGGAGAGACGACGCAATATAGAGAGGGGGGGAGAGACGACGCAATATAGAGGGGGGAAGAGACGACGCAATATAGAGAGGGGGGGAAGAGACGACGCAATATAGAGGGGGAAGAGACGACGCAGTATAGAGAGGGGGAAGAGACGACGCAGTATAGAGAGGGAGGAAGAGGCGATATTAAAAATACAGACACATTCTGTGGGTGTTCAAACAACACGGTATTAATAATTCTTGATAATTACGCAGATTGTAGTAATAAAATTAAAAATAAACCTTGAATAATAGAATGTTACCTAGTCCTTGGTATGACGATAAACTACATCTGGCAGCAAGGCCTCTGATTGGGAGATTGGAGATTTTGACGAACCACCTCTCAATAGTTCCCAGTCCACCCTGACCCGGGGTGGTAGCACCTGTTTGGGTCCCAACTATGGGCAAATAGTGAACCCCCAAACAAAAACAAAACACTAGGGAAGTATAAAAACACTCATTTTTATAAAAAAAAATGACCTAGAATTTTTTTTCAATAATGGTTTTTAGAGATACAAGTCTTAGTGATTAACCCATAGCGAGGTGGAGAAGAGGTGGAATCATATCTTTCCCAAGGGTATTTGCGCATAATATAACGAACCCAACAGGAATTAGAACTCGGCTCACCGATTAACAATTCCGAGTCATTATCCATTAAACCATCCGCATATCCAGGCTTACAACACCTGGTATGATCAAGCGGTTACTCATCTAGGCACTGGCCAGGCTCGACGTTGCTTAACTTCGGTGATCGTACGGAAATCTGTGTTTCAATGTTTCAGATTTTGTTACACTTTAAAATGAAAAATTAAAAAAAAAAAATGATAAATATTTTTTTCTTCCCAACATGTTTTAGAGTCTGTCTAAGTGACCCCACACTTTAAAAATCCCACTGTTTTTCTTATCAATGTTATGACTCTAGGTGCGTCAGGAAAGTTCCTGGAGTCCTCCGTCGACGAAGGTACTTTTGAAAAGTGGCCTCAAAAGTGCCTTCCTTTGTGCGGTTTTCAGTAATGTCCAAGGGAACTCCATGCAGAGAGATCTGCGTTTCGCGGGCGCTCATGTACTCCGTCGCCAACCTTTTTGACAGCGTTTTTGGTGCTATTTGGAGGCTTTTTATCCCAACCAGCTTTCGAGTTTTCACATCAGTTGTTAGCAGGGAGATAGTCCGTGTGGTCACTGCTTCCAGAGATGCTGGAATGGTCAGCAGCTCATTGCCAGAAATGTACTACTGATATTGCGAGGGAATATTAGCATAGTATACTTCGAAGTCCATGATGGTACAGGAGAATTTTGCGACTGAGGAATCTCCCCCATAATAATGGGCTTTCTATTTCAGCTCCCGTCACAAACACTTCCAAAATAAGGTATTGCAAAACAATGACAATCAAACAATGACAACAAAAAACAACGCTGGACAGAACAAACGTCAAAAACATCCTGGACCACAATATAAAGGCAGGGTGCTAGCGGGATGTCGGGCGATCGTAGATCTGATCGGTCAGTGTCGGGTAGATCATCCGTGGCAGATGTGGACATGGGCTCTTAAGTGGACGTCTACTCGGGTATCCAGCTGTCTGGATGAAATTTTAGTAAGAAGAGTCGATCTAGATTTGCTAGATTGTTCCACTGGTTAGGCTATTCGGACCATAGACGCTGGCAGTACAATATGTCCTTATTGAACAGGCGCGACTTCCGGCAACAACTGACTAGATTAGTGCAGCGGGAACTAGTGGGAGCGGTTATTGGGAATAGGTGGTGGGAAAAGCTTAAGGATAGCACTTAAGTCATTCATCACCGAATACAGCCAACGACTCACCCTAGATAAGTCTAAAAAGATGAAAACTCAAAGACAGTCTGCCCCGGACGGAGGCTGTTGGGATTTTCTAAGTTTAGCTAGGCAGGCTCTGGAGCGTGTGATTAACAGGGTCAGGTAGTTAGACGTTTAACCTAAGCCTAACGTAGCCGTAAACATGGGTGCAGAATTGCGGAAGGAAGAGATCCGTCGAGGTTCCGATCGTTACATTCAGAAGGTCGATACTTTGGAGGGGCGTACTCTGAGGTCAACCAAGGACAAGTGCGAGGTGTTTCGCTGGCATTTCGAGAGCTGGTTTATCAAAGAGCCTGATCACTGTGACGAAGAGTTTCGCAGTTATTTGTCTGACTTTCCTCAGCTTTCGTTGACTGAAGCGTCTAGGTGCTAGGGTGAGATCACAGAGAGCGATTACAGCTTGGTATTGAAGAGGGTCAGCAGTGGTAAGTCTCCGGGCCTTGATGGTATGTCCCACGAATTGTACTTGAGGCTGTAGCACATCATCGATTCGGACTTTCTTATTAAACAACTGTTTTCGGCAATGGATACGCCGTTGACGTGTCCATTTTCGTATCGTGCCGCAGCAACATTGATGGGGTAAAGAAAGCGCCTCAACGTTACGTCAAGAGCAATGGAGCTAAGATTGACCGAAACAAATCTTCGGGATTGCGGTTAGGTACTTGAAATTGGGTCGCGCTTCCGACGACCTTTAGTTGGACTGACGAACACGTCAGCATTCTTGGAATGTGCTTTGGACCTGGGTTCTAGTTGAAGAATTGGTCGGGGGTACAGGCAAAGGTAGGAGAGGTGGTTCCGGACTTGGTTCTTACGGTTCGTGAAGGGTTGGGTTGAGGCGTGCGTCACGCACGTTTTTCCTCTCATCCTTTACCGGTTACTGTACACCCTTTCTGCAAGAACTGTAAGAAAGCACTCGAGGGCTTGCGGGTGGACGCAAGCAACAGGTCTGCAGAGAGGTCTCTTCTCCGGTTTCGTGTCATAGAAACTGAGAATGGCACACTTAGTGAGTCATCGACACGCCTCGAGGATGGCTTTCATATGCCGCCCGTTGACAGAAGGGAGCGTTAACGACGCCTTCCCTCGTCTTACCATCACTCCTCCAGTTTCTGGGCATGAGCTCCGTTGTTAGCCCCGGAATCAGTCGAGATTCCCCAGAGGATGTCAAGGTCATTCTTCGGTCCAGTGACCTTTCATGGCCTAGGAGAGACTTGTATCGGGAATTTGTGAAGTGGGTCGCAAAGGATCAACTCTGAGAGCGGCTGGCTTTGTCGGCGATCGAGTTGTGCTCTTGGGCGCCGGCGGCGTATTACTTCAGCAACCCTGAGTTTTCGCTTACCCGGTGATTGCTTCGAAACTTGCTATGTCTCAATAAGGGGGCTGGGTGGATTTGACTGACTGCCATCGGTGCGACCTCGTTTCGCACACCTACCATGGTCCTCAGTCGGCGAGTTGACGACACGTAACGATCCCGAACATCTTGTGCTCATCGAGTTTGGTTCGAGTGAACGGGGTCTAGCCTTGATTTTTTCAAGTCCATTTTGGCGCAACGAGGCGGTTTGATGTTGAACCCTCACCTGGTTCAGATAGACTCTTTGTTTACCTAGTTACCTGACCTGTTCCCAGAATTCCCTTTTGTTATGATGTGTCAGTCTTTGATTTTCCCACCCCGTAATTTATTTTGGTCCTTCCCTCACCGTTAGCGGCAACTCTTATTTATTGTGGAGATGAACGGTTCCTACTAACATCTGTTATTTTTAATTTGAATGTTTTGTTAAAGGGTCATCCACTCATTTCACGATCATTAGATTTTAATATATTTTATAACAAAAAAAAAAAAAAAAGGAGACATTTGAAATTTTTATGACATGGACATTTTTATAAGTCAACTGTGAATATTTGGTATTGTGGTATATGTAGGTTTGAATGGTGATGGATAAGTTCTTGTGACGAATGAGTCAATGAATAGCTCGTGAATCAGATTAGCTAGGTCTAGGATAGAAATTGTCGACCATTCCTACGTCACTTTCCCTTTGGTCTTGTTCATTTTTCTAAATAATTGTCATTGTCATCAGTAATAATGTTTTATATGATACAAATTCTAGTAATCAACTCATATCTAAGGGGAGAAGAG